AAGCAAATAGGAAAAACCCATAAAACAGCAAACGGCCACATAATGCAAAACAATTTATAATTAAACAGGAACAGGGATTTTTTTTAACTTCAACGTTATTTCGAAGTAGCCTTTGTTGTCGCAATTTGATGTGCCTAAAGCGATATGAACAAATGCAAATTGAACGTCTAAAGATATTCATGACCTAATTACCGTTCCGGTAATATAGGCCGCTATAATAATGAATATGTTGATGATAAACGTCCACAAAATCATTAAACCTTGTCATACTAAAATGAAAATAATGATAGGCCTAGAGTTTTCATCTGTAGGTCTTTGCACCAATCTTTTTTCAGACAACCATTTGTTCAAAATTTAATCCATATTATTAGAATTCTGACAAACACAAGCATTTTCTCAAGAGCATCATTTTATTTTTTTTTCTGTTATAGTCGTATACCGGTACCAATATTTATGAGTTCATAAAATACCACTTTCACGTCACCAGCATCCAATTCTTTCCCATCCCACTTTTCCTTTAACATCTTCCGTATATAGATCACCCATAGGCCTATATCATTACATAAACCATACATTATATGGTATGTAGCAAGAGAGAGCATACACATGTGCAGGGCCGCCGAGAGCGGCCGCGGTCCCCAGGGCATCTTCGCTGCCTCGGTTCCCAGCGGGATCAAGGGGCAGATCCTTGTTGGCTCCTCAACCCCCCGCGGAAGCTACGGCCTTTTAACGGATTAGAGGACATGTGTAAAAATACCTTTCACTGATGATGGGAAACGTTTCCCGAAACATGCATCGCTAGTGGTTTTTTATATTAAATGCCTAGCTGTTCTATTGTCCATATAAGCCTACTTTGTTATTGCAAAATAATGTTACATTGCAGGAAAAAGAAGAGCAGTGGTAATTAAGACATTGATATTGTATATTTGTTTGTTGTAATTTTTTTTATAGATTTTAGATAAGATTAATCATTAGGTTTGTTTTTCTTCTCTTTGAACGCACCGTTGTAACATGGAGGAATGGAATTTCTCCATGGTTGTAATGTGTTGGTTCCAAATAATTATAGACGCATTGCTTGTATTGCTTGATTGGACACTTTGCAGTAATCTATGTTAAGTCGTCTCAACATCGAAGTGCATCATGAGGAAATTAGACTGTATTGAATATCATGCAGTTCTACGAATTCTCCCTAGAAAGAAAGACAGCCACAATTTGTTATGATTGATTCTAGCTGTATTGATTTAATCGAGTAAAACAAACGCACTTTAAGGTCCTTTGAGGTTGATGATGCACAGTGGAATATAATTCCTTTATTTAAAAAAAATAAACATTCGATTCCCAGATTTATTTCCATGCATTGGGTATTTGCGTGCAGAAACTCCTAATTTGCGTATAAGCTGAAAATCCATTTTATTTTCGAATATCAGTAGGCCTAGCTGGTCTGTAATGCAAGCTTTGATTTAATTTACCTTGTTTTTTTACAGTACGCCAAGAAAAATAAAGTATGAAAAGAATATTATGCAAAAACCTCCGATTTTGGACTTGGAGGTGAGTATTTGTGTATAATATAACTCCATAAATTATTTGCCTTTGCAGAATTTCTTTTTTGATAGCCTCAAACAGATCAAACAGAATATGATTGGATTGTTGTGTGAGTGCAAGAGCACTTAAGAATTATTCAATATGTGTAAGTTTTGTATCGCATTAATACAAAATATCTACTTCGAAATACTGCAAATTTATCTTTTAATCTGATTTTGATTACAGTATTAGTGTCAACATCGCGAAGAATTATCTGTCAGAATTGATTTTTGTGTGTGTGTGTCTAGAACGGAACCTACATTATCAAAAGTGCATCGTCTGCTACGCAGTCTTGAGCGTAAGCAGGTGCTAAAATGTTTCCTCTTCTCGGGTAATTTTGAATGCGTTTGAGTGATTGCAAAGGGAAATATCAGATTGGGGCTTAGTTCGGATTTTAGTTGAACTTAAAGAAAGAGGTTAAGCGCCTTATTGAAATGTTGTAAACGATGATGGAGTAGATGTTACATATTAACGGATAAGCAGATGTCAGGTTTTAAAACAATGTGTCAACTTTATGATGTCATTGCAGATGTATAAGGCTTATGTCAGTGTTCTGAGAGAGGCAGTTCTGCAGGTTTCTGTGCTATTTTTGTACGAACCTGACAGTCATGTTGATAAAGAGCTACGGTGATGAGACATAGTCATCTTACAACGTGAGTGATCATGATCATTCAGACAATATTGACAAACATTAATTACCGTACCCCAGTCACCAGTTATTAAAAACTCTCAATCACGAACCTCACTTGGCGACCACCGTCAGCTAGGTATTTCTCAGTTGACTGTACTGAACTACCGTTTACCTCTGTGGGAAAATGCATGGTCAGGGAATGTTTAAAAATTTCCGTCTGTCAAACGACGTCAAATTTGACTGTGTTCCCCGAAGTCGAGAAATGGAGCAGAATCCGACGTTTATGTTGGGGAAGCACACGTTAGGCCTACTTGTCGGACGAAAAATGTTAAATTTTCGCCCCCCCCCCCCCAAAAAAAGAAAATGAAAAGAAGGTCTATGACAAATTCTGCTGCATGTTCCCAAAAAATAAAATAAAAAGAAGGTCTATGACAAATTCTGCTGCATGTTCCCAAACGGCGAAAGATGGAGCAGACTACCTGTATCTCTGGAAAAAAAGATCCTGGAAAGAAAGATTTCTCCAAAGAGTTATACTATGTGTTCGCCGACAACAAGAGAAGGAACACTCTTGCTTGTTGTCGGGGATGATCACGTCTATGGCGAGGATCATCCCAGAGAAATTGTGCCACCACTTCATCCACCCATTCCTTGACTTGTGGGCAAAGTTTGAGGTTCAGTGTTTCCCAGTGATTTGACGGCTACCTCCCCGACGGAAGTCCTGTGCCCCATGTACCCCTACTGGCATCGCCACTGAAACACGTTTGTAATCATTAGGAAGTTGACTGTTAATAGGCTGTAAACTCCGGAATGCATTCAATTTATTAAAAATAGAAGAATCAGAATCAGTTTAGCCAGACATGAGTCAATAATCTAGGATATACATCCAGGGGAACTGTCCGACAGGGTCGTACGTCAGATCGCTAGCCTCGATCAGGACCTTGAGGCCACAAGAGGGCTAGCCTTGGTGCCCTTAGAGAAACTGGGACTATTTTATGCAAATTAGATTTTTTTTAATCTACTTTATATCTTCCATGGTACAGTAAGTGGAAATCAATTAATTATACATCCAATTTGACAAGATATATTAGTGTAAGTGGATTTTAAGCATTTAAACATGATAAATACATAAATGATTATCGTCAAGTGGCAATCACTTTATTACACAACATATGATAATTTATTAACTACACTTTTCAAACTGAGTAGCAGCACTTTCAAATAGAAGATGCATTCAGAAGAAATTACAGAGTAAGGCATCCCAAGGACATTTTTTGAAAATAAATTTAATAAATAATGGATAGTTAAAAAGACTGTTAAATGAATATTAAATCGATCAGTACTACCAGGTGACAATGAATAATGTTTTCATTCAGAAGCCATGCGCACAAGACCAACGGCATAATGTCACGTTCGATGGGTGAGATAATTATTAGAACACTGTATCACAACGAAGCCAGGCTCAACGACGAGGTGGGGTGTTCTCTCCGCTACTGTTTTAAATTGTGTGTGATAAACGATAAAAACGGCATCAAATGGAAGAAGACACCAAACCAATCAAATGTTGATAGCACAGATGTCAAGAGTTATCTCACAAGAAATGATCACATTCATAAATTGCAATCGTACAATTCAGCAGCATGTGTAAAAAACACGAGAACAATCTTTGAACAATCAGAGTTACAAACAATAGTGGGCTCCCAAAATGTTAATTTAATAGATATTGTTTCTAGCAATCATTTACATAATTTAGTCCATATGAAAATGCTACTTGTCTTCAAATTCATGTTATAGTTTGGAAAGTGCCGTAGGCCTACCATGTTTACGGCCTTTCACTCTCGAGACAGCTTTTTCCCTCTACAGTGCATGTGATGGAGCCCTCTCGTGGGTACAAGTTATTATCTGTCTACAATGGGCAGCGTTACCTAATTCGGTGGTGGGTACACTGGTTATAAGCCTTCTAAAGAAACTCAATGTAGAATTAAAGAAGCAAAGCTTTTGATCCAGTGATCAATAAATTGCCATTCAAACGACAAACAAAAATACTAATTTTTTTCTAAGGTGTGAATGATGGAATTATGTACGTGTTCTAACTCACGGTAACTGTTACATCCTTGCCTATTTTTGATTAACTTTTGATTAATTTCTTTATATAATTATATATAATATAATATTTTGTAGTTAGCATTTTTATGACCTTAAGTTTTACTCAACATTTTCTTGGAAAGTACTGTTTCCTTATTTTAATTTGTTTTACTTTGTAAAGCTCATAAATATTATTATCCTACAGTATGACCTACAAGTTCCTTTATCCGTGGTCAGTATTTAATTAACGCAAGGTAAATGAACTGAGTTTGGTAACTCCAAGACTTGAATGAGGTTTCGCATCCTGGACATTTACTTTCAGTTGGTCCATCCACTTACCTTAATTAAGTATATGTTTATCGGACACTTTACTATAGCTTTTAATTGGTGGATTAGTTTGCTAACCTTGTTGGAATTGGTGCCCTGATTGGATGGGACCCTTAATATGCAAAGTGTCACACCCATCTTAAATGGCCTTACTACCCAAAGTACTTCAGTTGTAATTTGGGATCCAGTGCAGACAACTCAAGATATCTTTATTACCTGGAACCCTGTTATTTTGTCCGGCTTCAGTTCCACGCTGATCTGTAAGTAAAGTACTTAAATTGCTGCTTCAGGTTCTAACCACCACCGTCCTCTAAGCTCATTTATATGTTTAATTTTTATCTTTGTTTAATTACCGTATTGTAATCGCATTGTAAATAAATTATATATATTTTGTAAATACACAAAAGTTGTGATCTCTTTTCTGTTAGTTATTCTGAGCCGTAACTTAACAGTAACCATTATTACTTTAGTTCCTGATGATTAATTGTTGATGTTGCACCGTGTTCAGCTGTGAGGAATAGTAATAATCGCTCACACTCTAGCTTAGTATTCCTTACCTGTCCTATCTATCCATCAAATATATAAATTAGGCTTCACATCATCATGTAATACCATTGGCACGACTACCTTTGGAATTATGGTGCATACAATAACATACGAGGTTCAATAGCTTGTTTTATTGCTATTTATGGTGGAATATTTTAAGATACAAAATATACAAACTGTCTCTTATACACATCTAGATGTGTATAAGAGACAGATATACACATACATACATATATACTATATATATTATAGCATATATACAAATAGAATTAAATATTTGTCGCTCACATCACGGACTAACACAATCAAAGTAGGTGTCCAATCGAGATTCGAACCCGGGATATTTTGCTGTCTATGCAGACTCTTTAAACCAACTGGGCCATTGAGGCTTTGTTGAAAATACATGGTACAGCCTGTTCTTATAAGCATTTGACAAAAAGACAAAATTAGCTGAAGATTGTTGCACCGTGTACATGGCCGGGGGCCCGGGCCTCCCACTTTTTGGCAGAAAATATATAATGTCTATGCAGATTTTTGTATGATCGGCTCCCTCGCAAATGTTATTGGTTTATAAACATCAACAAAGTATGCATGAAATGTTAACAGGAAGCAAATGGAATCACTATAGTCATCAGCTTATGCAGTGTACGAGAATCAGACCTAGCCGACCAATTACCTCATGACCAGAAACCAGCCAGACTCATATTTCGCCTCAAGAAACAGTCACAGAGAAAAATGAATGAAATCTATCACGAACAAATATACGTCTTAAGCATGACAAACATGATGAATGACTGTAATATTGAAATGAAACTTGCATGGATTAGGCCGGTAATATTAGTGAATGGACTGGATACACTAAATTGAAAATATGAATTATAGTACTATCATTTTCTACAAAGAATATGGTTAGTAAAATTGATTTACGAGCTTCTGTAATTTGATAACATGGCTGTCCCTTGGAGGGGGCAGGTATTCTTGAGCTGGCCAAGGTCCCTCTCCACCAATGATTCGCTCTAGACCCTGTTGGTTTGGTCGGGAAATGTCAGACCCCAAATATGAACAGCTCCCAGAAAAATATATTTTATAGCGACTGCTCTTGTGTTGCGGCACTTTCACGCCCCTGCTAATTATGGCAGAAACAATATCAGGTACTGCTCGCTGAGAAGCATTCCTTAATAACGCATTAATTTAGCACAGACCAAATTTATTTAAAACATTCATTATATCCATAATCCTACCCATGAACAAGGGCGTCCTGCGAGCAAGGAATAGTAAATCTTGATAAATAAAGCTGTAATTATATTTTATTGGCTTTTCGTGTGTATTAAAATAAATTATATCTGTACTTAATATTAATATCATTGCTTGGCAGTTGACAGAGACTAAACAGAACACTGTCACAAAAAGGTAGGGAAGCTATGGTTCTCAGAACACAACAATTAAGATTGGCATTTGAAAGAGATCGCTTGCTTTTTGCCCGCAGCAATTCTATAGACGAACCATACCATACGTTATTTTCAACGTCATTCCCACCCAAAAGATATCTTTATATTGATATTTGTTGAAGACAGCACTGTGGCAATTGAGTGGTGTCTTGATTATAATATATAGTTCATCCAAGTCAGTTTCTCAGATCAGCAAATAGAATTGATTGTTTATCAATTTTGAAAGGTTTTACATTTTTATATGACAGGTAGGCTTATATCTCATTACTGTTTTATTTCAACTGCATGAGTGATACATTAGAATCATTTATATAATTTATAATGTTTTTCAGAAGTACAGTTTAATTACAATACAGCGGTCATGGGTTTTAAACCTCCCTTGTTCCATACTCCTTTATATGTAAATGTTATATTGTTTATTATTGTATGTTTATAAATAGGGGGCCTATAGGCCGAAATATAAAGTAACAATTAATTTTGTTTACAGTACCGGTAGGAAGAACGCCTATTTCAGATAAACGCCGATCTCAAATTAGCGCCGCACCAAACGTAGTTTTTCTGCTGAGATATCTGTCTCTTATACACATCTAGATGTGTATAAGACGGTGCGATCGCAACCCTTCCCCTCCCCCCTAAATTGATTAATAAAAACGTATATATATATTATTTTTTCTTTTTTTTTGCATTATTTTGTTAATATGAAGATTTAGAAGTTAAAGTAAAAAATAAAAAAGTAAATAAAACAGTTCAAAGGTTAAGGTAATGCAAGTAAAAAATGGTTTTATTTGTAGATTACTTAAGTCTATAAGTTTTCTCCCTTTTTATCATCTTTACGAGGATGAAACTCAATTATTAGACACAGCTTTCCATTGGGACTAGACACAGTTGTATAACACAGAACATGTTGCTCTACATAAACCGTCTCACAACAGGACCCTGGGATTGGAAGACATCTTAACCAATAAGCAAAGTCTCAACTACTCTGTTTTAGATAATAACGGCAAAGATTCAAGGCGCTCCTAGAATAATATTATACCTTATTTGGTTTGTAATCAAAAGCCAATTTAAATGCGTATGTGATGTAGACCTATTAATCATTTTCAAGTACGCGCTATCATCATTCATCATGCAAAATCCTCATTTAGTTATAGGCCTAGACCTATCATTTTCTGCTTATTCTTTTGGTATAGTAGTACATCTCTTTAATGTATGCCCATTTTATTCTGTTTACTTTACTATTTTACGAGACAATAATATTTCATTTGTATTTATGTGTTATAGTTTACTATACTGATGTTGACATTTGTGAAACCGTCTTGTAAGTACCGGGTCTGGGTTTGTTGCAAGTTACGTAATGCTTATGGGTTCTCGGGCGGGGTCCCAGCCCAAAGAGGACCCAAAACAAGCAAGTTAAAACAATGTAATTCCTGTTTTTTAACTCACGAATGTCCACAGTTTTTATTGATAGTATCATGCTTTTACCGTTTGGAGACCAGTAAATTATTCAGGCATAATTATTGTAAGTCATGAAATATGGTGAATCAGGGAGCAGGAATTTCACTGTTCCCTGGGTGAATTAACTGCAAGACATAGAAAGTATATCCTTGCTATAAGGTTTAGATAGCTTGAAAATGGGAAAACAAATAGGCCCTATTGAAACCAAGGAGGTACTATACTCTATAGGCCTAGGTGATCAACATTTTGAGTAATTGTGAAACAATAGTAAATGTGGGGCCTTTGGGGAAACAGTGCAGAAATCTTAGGTTGTAATATCTAAAAGCAAATATAAGATGTAAACAAAGGGATACAGTATTTGAAATATATAACTTCGGAGATGCAGTACCAATAGCTGGCATGGCACTTACTGGACGCGGTGCCCGCGTGCAAACTGCGGTCACCGGACACCGGCAAAATCATGGATTTACTTTGATTTGGTTTGGTTTTTTTTTTTCAAGCTGTTATACAGACCGCGAGCACTGCAGGCGCCGCGTAATACAGTAGAACTCATATAAAGTATTGTAGACATTTTAAGGCCAACAAAATGTTCCCTTAATGGGAGTGTCCTCTGTTTAGAGTTTTCTTCGCTGGGATCTGCGGAGGACCAGGGATTTTATCCCTGAGCAGTCCCCCAGGATAAATAATAAAAGAAAGAAAGAGGATGCTAACCAAAATTTGTTAAATTGTTCTCTTAATATGGGTTTTTTGCACGTAGTTATACACTGTTTTACTATTAGATGTGTACAATTATTTTTACTGCCAATGAATTCTGTGACAAAATATAATGTAGTAAATGTGTATATCCTGGCCATAAAGTTTCACTATTCTTTTACATTGTTTGAAAATGCTGATCACCCAGAATAAGAATAAGAATATTTTGTTTTATTTTTCAAGTTATCGAAACCTTAGGCTGCAAGGACGTAGGCTTACACATTACTGTACCAAATTTTGTTAAAGGAAAATCTTGGTTGGAAATATCTAAAAGTCAATATTAGCCTAAGTGTGAAGAAAAAAATAATTGAAAATATAAAGGAATGATTTGTTATAGGCCTACTTGCAGTGTTATTATGTGCTTATTGGCGCATTCATATCGATTTTGATTTTCGGATCGGAAAGCCTACTGAACCGATCAGAAAATGAATAGGCCTATGGTATGATAAATAAATAAATAAATATGGACGTTTTGTTTAATTCAACGGGAAATGCGGTCCGAATTTCGGTTCAAATCCGACATTTTGAATGCAGCTTAAGTCGGAAGATCAAACAATCGTGCACTGATGAATAATCTGTACATAATTTGGAGGTAATATGATGACGTCACGATTGATTTTATAAAGCGTTTTTGACAGTTGTACAAGGTAGATCCTCTACTAAATACAATATGTTTATTTATTTATTCAAAACTACACTTTTATATCACTGTGGCACTCTTCCAAAAAGAAGGTGGGTCCAATAAAAAAAGATTAAACAAAAGTAAACAAAATTACAAAACTAAAGAAAAGAAATGAAAATCAGCAAGATAGCAATTACACAACTTAACTAAAAAATTCACATATAAAATATAACACCACCCACTCCCACACCCGCCAACTAATAGATAAAGTATTGACCCATTGACATTAACATTTCTTCCCTTTTTAACCTACAGAAAGTCTACAATAAACATTCACAAAACAGCAAAACACATTATCCCCAACCCACCCACCTTTTTTAACCTACAGGAAGCTAAAATTAACATTCTCAAAACAAACCCTTGCCAACCCACCCATAGACTTGAACAGAAATATCATCAATGCAGAAATGCAGAAATGAACAAAAAAAAAAACACGATTGTATTGAATGTACAGTAAATAGGCAGAACAGTCTAAACTAAGGTATGCAATTAGTTAATTAATTGAAAATTAATTCCCAGACCGTTTTTATGTGGGTGTGCGTACCTGTATGTGTGCACGTATGTATGTTGGTTTGTATACATTTATTACATTGAAAAACAAATTAAAATGAACAGCAATGCAGAAAAGAAAAAAATACAAGCAATTTACGTTAAATAGGCGGTTAGAAACTAAGGTACTGTATGCAATTAACAAGTATTGTAATAAATAAATGAAAAGCAAATAAAAGTTATTGTATAAACTAAACGTCATTCTTGACGTCTCAATTCTACAGACTGATGGAAGTGGCCCGATGATCGTGAAAGTAACGGTATGTACAGTAGGTTTCAAGTCTACGATCTTTTTGCTGAAATAGGCCTAGATTATCCGAGCTGCAGCAGTAATACCTTAGCGTTGTTGTCGATGAAGCACGTGAACGCGTAATGCCTTAAGCCAAGCACCAGCTTAGCTACGAAGAACTTGTTTTTCATTACTCTCATTTGAGTATTATTTTGACTTTGTCCATTAATCCGGAAAAATCTTTATCTAATCCTTGTAGGATAACCTTTCTTCTTAATGAACATGTGTTTTAGTGGTTGGATAATTTTATTGCCATTGTTTTGTGCAGGGGATAATGTTAAAAGTTAGTGAAGAAGAAGTAATCTGAAATGGGAATCGAAAGGGAAACCTTGACAACACGGAAATGAATGTTCATTTAGATCTGTGTTGAGGTACGTATTTCCTTATTATCATTATAGCATTCTTAATAATTCATTATCATGATCATCACTAATATTATTGTTGTCATCATCATCTTCATTTATCGCAATAATTATTAATATTTTATATTAGTTAACGTCTTCTTTAATAATGTATTATGAAATGTGTTCAGAAAAAAAGATAAATACAATCTGTTTCTAAAGATGAGATACTGTCTGACCAATCATAAACATAGCATTGTGTGACAAGTTTTCATTTGAAAGCTGAATGTTGATTGGTCAGATTTGAGTTTAGTAAAAGCTGTAAAGACAGAATGTTGAACGGCAATGACTTGATCATTTCATGTATCATCTCCGTAAGAGTCTACGTATTTTTGCAACTCAACGTCTTTGTGGTAATTAGTCATAATACCTCAAACGATGAGAAATTGCCATAAAGAAATCGGAGAATGTTTTCAAGTTCTTTTTATGATATATCATAATGCCAAAATATTCTAATGTTCTGAGCCTTTATTATGGATAAATAAACATTGGCCAGATAAATGTGGAAATATTTTCAACTTTTTTGCATGATAATATTTTTATTTATTATGGTTATTCCTTTTTATGTACCATTCAGTAAAAATGACTAGTCTTTATTGCTTTCAGTACTGTAGATCTGGTTCTATGATCGAAACTGAGTTACTTTCGTCAGCAATGAAGACAACTGCGGAGACACTCCGAAAGATGATGTGCTTCAAAGTGGAGTCAAAAGAAGAGCAGTAATAGATTATGTCTACTCTGTTATAGTTAACCAAAGAAAAATCCCAACCAAATGCTCATGTATACAATTTGTACGTATATATATGCCTATATATACATTTATATATATATATATATATATGTATGACCATTTTTTACAATGACTTAGCTTGCTCCGTTTTCTAATATTTCAGTGTCATTGCTTTCATTAATTGTGTGTATCATGTTTTCATAGATGTCTTTTATGTTATTTCTCGTTGTTTTTTGTGAAATGGCCCCCATTTGACAGTGATTTAGTTCATACTTGTGGTGTCACATGTTTCAACGTAGGCCTACGCGTCACCGTGTATTCTTGTTAAATTTTTTTTAAATTGTATGTAATGAGAAAAATAAATGATAATATGAAAATTTGTCAGAAGTCAAACCAATCATTGTTGATGTCAGAAATTCTCCATCGCGATTGAACCCAGGACGTAGTAAAGAAATATTTATAATTTAAATTAAATCATGAGCCTAATTCAAAATAGTGTAGTACAGTATATTAAATGCACCTTCCGCACAGAACATTATAAATGTGGAATATATCAGATGAAAGTCACCTTTATCATTATTATTATCATCATCGTCATCATTATCATTACCATTGTCAGCAGCAGCATCTTAACTTACTCTACCATATGATCCACTTGGTTTACTATGTAAAATAATGCATTGTCTAGCTACTGTAGGGAACAGGTTTTTATTTTGTTTAACCTCAGACAAGGACCTCTAACGCTACCGTTTTGTACCTAATACCTTATAGTTGATATATGCCGTTTAATTTACCTACAAACATTATGAAAATGATCACCAAGTGCTTCTCTCAATCTGATAATAGCAGGTGGTGTCGTTGATGATCTATTTTCATTCTTACCACTAATTTTGGTTAAGGAGCATATGGTACCTGTGGATCTAAATAATTTATGATACAGCAAAGTCATTCGTTTTATTCATGTATAATATTTATTACTAGGAAGGCACAAGGCATCTGGCCTTGCAAGGGACGTTATCAAATGATGGTGAAAGTACTGGTGCTTATAGTAGTTCTCGGGACCGAAAAAGCAACACCTCTCACCAGCATCTTGTGTTCCAACACATTTGTCCTTTTTTGGCTTCCAGTATGAGCCACTGAAACTGTCCGGATGTTCCATTTTTAAAAGTTTTCTTTACCAGTTACTGAAAGATCCGCTTTTTACCATATCTCCATATTATATTTTAAAGTAGGACCTGCATTTCGCTAGGATAAAACATGTTAACGAAGATGCCTCTTCCATTTTTTATCCGAAGGCCTGGGTTTAATTTCCACCGCTGCCACCATGTAATGTATTATTCACAATATTTCATACTAATTTTTTGTGAGCCCACATTTTTGTAACCTAGCTTTCTATAATTCACTTTGATGCATAATTATTGAATCCTTTCTACAAACAAAACCCAGCTAGCATGTAATACTAACTAATTTATACTGTACCGTATTAACCCATTAGTAGCCTTTTGTTCTCCAAAGTTTGGTGGTGAGATGTGGTGTGTTATCATTTATTAACCTACAGTGGTACATGATTTCACTAAATGCAAAATAGTTTTTTTTACTTTATTTTACACACTATGACGCGTGTAATCACAGTCGTGCGTTTAGTGACGTGTACTGTAGCATAGTGATGATGTATTATCACGTAACGCAAAAAATAGATTTATTTCATAGTAAAACATGTGGTTGTTGACTCATATTGGACGGTTGTATGAGACCATCTTTATAATGATCTAACAAACATCTTTTGCCAAGGTAGTTAAAATGTTTCTTCCAATGTGATCGATCTGATAGAGTGCGCACATAGTCATATGCATGATTATGAAGGAATTCATGAATTTATATATTATTATTTGTATATGTAAAAGGAAAGGAAACAACTAAATAAATGGGATGAAATTTATTGGCCGAATAAGTAACAAAATGAATGATTTATATTTCACATCAAAATTCTACAGCACAATCAGACTAAAAATATACAATGTAATACCACTAAAAAAACAAGGATTGTTTTTAATTAATATAAATACCTCATGTGAGAAAGCCTGTCCTATCTGGTAATCGATTTATTAATCATTTAATGTTACAACGATCATTATCCCGTTTAAAGTATCGTAAGGTAGATATGCCCAAATTTCTCTTATTTAATGACATTCTATCATCAAACCTGTAATGTAAATGGCCAACGGGCTAAATCACAGCCAATTGAAAAGCGCGAGCTCAGGATATTTTCATGAAGCATTCAACATGGGCTAAAATTATTACAGTATTAACGTGGGTTCATGGGGATGAAGTCGTGTTAAGTGGTAAAAAAATGTTTGTTGAGACGTGATATCTGTTACTAAGCGATTTGAATAGTACTCGGGGATGAACGATGATTATCTGCCTCGTTAAAATATCCACAAGATGCATTTAAACTACAATTTATTGCTTACAGCTAGATAGTTTGATGCAGTGAAATTTGATGTGGTTGATTATTCCACTAACTTTCAGGTGATTTATTTTTATTAAAGGATGAACATGTAAGCCATATGAAATATAAACTATTTAATTGTGCGTTTATGAACACTGAAATTATCTTAAAGTGTTTCTCTTGCGTCAGAAACGCGCTTTCATTGATACTAAAGGTAAATAAATAATAATAATAATTCAGCATTAATTTTCGACGTCCACTGGCCTAAAGGAGCCATTTTAATACGTATAGTACCTGTGTCCCGCAGCTTGGACCACACTAGAACGCATCAGACGCACACCGACACAGCCTGGGTTCCAGGCCATAATTTTGGGCTACTCACTTTTTATTACGCGTCATACCAAGTTTATTTGGCGTCCCATACTCGATTTCTTTTTCTGTCTCAAAATTAACTTGCTTGTTGATGGCGCTGTCCAGAATGAGAAAAATTGATAAAGGTACTAAAGGGTGGCAAGTCTAACCATTGTTTATGTATTTGTATATGTATTTATATTGATATTTATATTGCTGTTTTGCTGCTTTTGTATTGTGTTGTCGAATTATGAATCAATAAATTTAAAAAAATAAAAAAAAAGTCTAACCATTGAGGTATGAACCGACACAAGGCAAGTTGTGCCTGTTCCAGTTGCTAAAATACGTTACAGCATCATTTTTCTCAATCTCCTATTTGGAGAAAGTTAGATGGCGAGGATATGACGTCACACGTCTGGCGCCGAATGTTCAGTAACGTCCCAGGGTCAATCAATGATGAATAGCTGTTTTCCAGAATAATTAAAATGCGAAGGGCTTATTAAAAAGCTTTTAAATTGTGTTTTTAATTAGAGGCCAAAATTCCTTTCATTTAAATGTTCATGTTGTCTCTATCCATTTATTATTTATTTTACTTTTAATGTTTTTAATCTGGATCGGTTTTGATTCAGTTTTACCAACGTAATATTTACTGCGGTTACGGTACTTCACTCAATTTCTGGAGGATTTACTAAATAAAATTTAAAACTGAAATAATATCAAAGAGAATAAAGTCCTGGAAAGAGTAATAATATCATGCAAACTCGCGAGAAAGCCACTTCGGCTTCTCTGTTGCAGGATTAGTTCTATCTGGTTCGATCTTCACGTTGTTTTTTGTTAGATTTGCGGTCATTATCTTATTATAAGAAATAGGTCTTATGAGTGGTGTTATTGATATATTAATGTACCTGAGATGATGCTTGGGATTCAAAGAGGAGTCGATAAATTAGTGAATAAGTTCTCAGCTTCATATCTATAGCCACAGAATTATATTATATTAGCTATCCATATAGGCCTATAAACACCTCGCAAAATTAGTGATAAAAACTTCAGTTTGGTTGAAATAAGAGCGTATGTATTTTCTCGGTGAGCAGCTAATACCGAATCAATTTGTTTATCAAATACGTCCGGTACGTTCTTCGCTACTTATGTTGGCACAGCGATTTAGCTGGATGAGTTCTTTGGTTGTTAAATTATACATATCTATAAGGTGAACACAATTGCTAATTTCCGACCAACTGTAATGAATTCATTTTCCGCTATGCTGTGTGCTTGAAGTTGGATCCGAAAACAACATTAGAGGCTATCTGAACGTCTTTCCAAATGCACTGACGTCATTAAGATGAATGAAGAGGTTGGAGTGGAACTGTAATTATTGATTTTAAAATAATACAATTAAATAGTTTAGGACGTAGCTCAATAATGTATAACGATATAAATGATATAATATATTTGTTATATATTTTTTTAATTTATTGAACTTTGTTTAATGAGGGTAGCCATTACAGCTAAAAAGCCGGCTCAAAGGGGCCCTCTGATGTGATATATATGAGCAGTGCACTGACAGACTCTATCGAAACACGCAAAATTTCCAAAGCAAGTATTTAGTTACCCTTTAATTAGGTCACCTGTGGCGCTTAAAATAAGCACTGTGAGTCATTACCGACTACCTTTTAGAACACAAAGTTGGCTGTGGCATGAACACGAGGGCAAAGTACACCCCAGCGCAACAGTAGGCCCGGGAATACGCGTTTGTCTGATTGCTTTCTGTGTGTGCCACAGAAGCCTGTGTTATTTATAGAGCGTTTCTAAAGACGAGTATTCATGGCATGATACGATGGATGTTATCATTGGTTACTGTAAAAGGCACTGCATGCTTCAGTTAGTAGCATGCTGGGAAAAGAATGCGTCTGAGAATACTTATCCGATACAAGTGGACTTCGTATTTTGTGATTTCAGCTCAGCCTAGTGTCTTATTTTGGAATTAGATTCAAATGCCATAGTAAGGGAAACTAATTTATTACGCACAAATATAATTCAGGTTTTTTTCAATTGCTTTACAAATCTGTGATATCTACAGATCAGAGGAAAGACAAATGTTTTTGCATTTTAGGCATTGGTTTTAAAGAAGCAGCATGAAACTTCATTATTTTTCCTGCATCCCTGTCGAAGTCTAACTCATTACGAGAGAAATGCTAAGGTAGGCTTTATTACACCATTCATTTATTCATTGCACATCTGACATGGGCGGAATTTGCATATTATGTCAATATTGTTCTGTCATGTCAAGAACTTGTATTAGCCGCCTGTCACTCTCTTTGGTCAAGTTTTTTTTTTGTTTTTTTTGTTTTTTTGTTTTTTTCCAAAATCAACCGATGTAAATGTTAAGAAATATTGCTGAACACAATTTAGAAGAAAGTAATGTCAGTAGCTACTTTAGTATTTTATAGTATAATGTAGCTGTACTGGTTCAATAGCACCTCCCTGGTTCAATATTTTTTTGACCTTTTATTGTTGTTTATCTTTATGATAGGCATCGTGTGAAGTATGATTAATCGATCATACTACAGTATGATCAATACTGTAGTTCTATTTATCAAACGTATAGGCCTGGACTATTTTTTCATTCCGGATGTATTTAAAAAAAAATGGAAAGATAAGTTTCAACCGCGAAAGAAACTGATGATTCATGTGCTAGGTTTGTTGGGAAATAAACATGACGTGTTCATAAGCTATAATCATGGAGGAATTAGTTTACTTCATGCTATAATGAACATTATGAGTGTAACTACTCGCCCTGGAGGGTTATTACTGTAAATAGGGTCAATTGACAGGCATATTCCTATTTTATCTTATTAGGTTGTTTGAGGAAAAAAATGTTAGTTATCGTGTCAACATCTCTGATAGAAGTAATACGGAACTAATACCTTTATCTAAATAATATTTAGGCCCTATTATGACTGTCTCTTTAATTTGAAAAAAAGGTGTCTGTTAAACCAGGTTGGACTAGTAGAATCACATAAGGATATGATATTACCAGGGAGAAAAGTAGAAAACTTTTAATAAGAAAAGAAATATCAGTGTAACCTAGAAGCCTATTAAACTACATTCTCTCACATTATTTTTTTTCAATTATACTTTGTATTGATTTTATATTTCATATTTAAGCCTCTTGTGCTATTTTGTTTTTTCATAGTAAATATACAGTAATTGTTTCAGATGTGCTGCTAACTTTACTGATATGTGTTTAAAGCTGAAGGAATACATAATAATAATCTCAAGGATTATTTGTCAATTTATGATATGAATTATGGCATATATTTTGTTGTATATTATAAATATTTAGTTGCAGGGAACAGCAGCATTATGGGAAATCGTTATAGTAGACACAATCCTAAAAAAGACCAACGCCAGGTCACTAGAATTACCGTGTTGTCCATTTGTGGTGTGAACAATTCTCAGGCTAGTCAGAACGTAAGTATTTTTCTTCATGACCTCGTATCTTGTTAATTATGGACACAATCCATTTTAGTTACTTTCTTTACTTTTCTTTTACTTTAGTCTGGCCTGTGTTTGGTCCCTAGGTATGAAATTCCCCAACAATTTCCATCTTTCACTATGGTTTGTATTCCAGTGTCTTTAATCAAGATGTTAATGAATGTAGTTTGGTCTTCTTTTCCCTTATTCTCGGTTTCTCGTATATTATTTTAAATTATATAATCTACCTGAAAGCAAGTCAGCATTAGGCGACATCTTACAATGCTTCCAAACGTCCTATAACTATGGCATTACCCCTATCAGTACCTCTCTCAGTACCCTATGCAGAATCACCCAATCACCTGAACACCCTTTTTATTGTTTTCTTCACTTGCGCCGTCAACTATCCGTGTTCCTTAGATCTTCTCCTGGTTTAAATTTCCTACCTATCCAGGGCTGTACTTCTCGCTTTCTCAACTTATTTCTTCCTTTCTCTATTATAGTTTGCCAAACACCCTCATTTTTGAGCCCGCCTAAACTTTTTTTTATATAAGAACCAGTAAAATTTTGCCCAGGCTCAGTGTTCTTATTTTTTGGCCAATTTCAGGCTCAAAATATTCTTATTTTGTTCTTCGTTTTACAAAATTTTCAAACATACCGTAGAAAATTATTATTGTACAGCAGTATACACTGTACTGGAATGTAGAAAAAATGGCCCCAGAAAAAAACTGCCCCTGAGACATAGGCCCCAGAAAAAAGGCGCTGGTAAAAATGGCCCGAAATGATGGGTGCAGTAAGTACAGTCACACCTACACATAAGGTACAAATATCTTTTTGTTCTTCTAGTTTTTTTTTAAAATAAAAATCTCATTTGACATTTTTACCTCAGCCTCAATTTGTTCTTATTTTGTTCTTAATTTTTACGAAATTTCAGCCTCAGTGTTCTTATAAAATGTGTTCTTATAAAAAAAAAGTGTACTCTACTTCGTGTGAACCCCTTTAAGTATGGTATAGAGCTTTAGATTACTGGCCTCCTCATAGTCTTTCCCAGCTTCTAACAATTTGTTTTAAATTATTTCTTTTTGTTGGTGGTGGGTGAGGGGAGGGGCGGGTGTGGGTGGTTTTATATTAATAAGAGTTTCCGTTTTGTGTATTGTATTGTATCTTGCGAATAGCCCTTGATGGTTTGGAGAGTTAATAATTTGAACTGAATTGAACAAACACAGTTATAAGAATATCAAAATTTTTGGAAATTCGGTCTAAATCGGATCAGTGATATATCTTGCATACGACTACTAAAGAATATTCGCAATAATCATTAAACTGGATGAAGAAATTGTTTATGTGTTTTAATAATGGTCGACTTATAGCGCATATCATAGAGACCTCTATGTGTTTAACATAAATAAGAATACAAATAAAATTATACTTCACTAATTCTACTCCTTAAATTAAGCATGGTTTGGCCGTTGGCTCCGAGAAGTTCATCCGCCCTTTGTTCAGCTATTTTTTTTATTGCTGCTGGGTGACCATTCACCCTCCTATCCAAAGGCCGGTAATGCCGTAGATGGGGCTTCCAGTTAGTCACCGGCGATTCGAGTGGATGCATCTTAACTGAAATTACACTAATCTTAACTACCTAAATGTAACTTAAACTTAAACTGAGGGTAAAACTATCCCCCGCCGGACACCATCCCGGTATTTCCAAATAAAGGTTTCGGGGTTAAACTCGAAGAGTACGGGTCTCCCTTTAATTACAGACCCCTCCAATTACAGACCACCTTAGAGACTGCACAAGCACGACCAATCTACGCTTTTATACAATTCAGTGGTAATAAACCGCATTAAGTTCTGACGTTTAATATTTGGCACAGCTGTACAAGTTAGTTTCATAATAGTATATATTTTCAATCTATCTGCAGACAATGAAGAAGCTAATCAGTCCGAGAACGGCGTTACTGTTTCTCGTGTTTCTGCTTCTAGTATACGTGTTTATTATCACAGGCTCAGGTAAGTATTACAAGTTTGATCGTCTGCTAAGGTACCACCCGCCAGGTTATAGATGGTTATAGTATACCTCCATGGTTATAGTCTGCTGCCTCATGTTGTGATCCATTATTATTATTAAAACATGCCAGTTGTCTCTCATGAGATAAAACAATATATTGAATTGTATCATGCCACTTAATATTCAAATGAAATTAAGGACATTACAATAAATAGAAAACCTGCATTATATTGGCTATAAAATGGCAACCGGTTGGTTTGTTTTCTCCTCATATCTTTATCTTCTGAACATTTTGACAGATGAGTATAGCTACAGTAATGTACGTGGTAGAGGAAACGATAAACAGCGGCATAGACCCACAGGAAATCGAATTCCAAAGGTGTGTTTCGATATAAGAGATTTGATTTTAGACAATATCCTTGTTTGCTTTATGACTATTTGTCAAATGCAATAGTACCGATTCGTTAGAAACATGTACAGCATTTCATGAATTCATTAATGCTGACATTGCTCACCATACTGATATTAAATTATTATTGAAATTATTATCATTATGATTTATTTGTACCCTCTTGTCCCATGCGGATAATCGTCAATTTACAGCGCTATAGAACAATAAAATGAGTTTCAACATTTTATACAAAAAAAATCAGTATTATTGACTTTCATATTTCAAATAAGCCTAATGTGTACAGGTCTCCCTCCTATTACCAGATACCAATTTTGGGACCAGGTTTTCCATAGTCTTTAGCAGCTTTGGTCTATAATTAGAATAATTAGCATAAAAGACATTTTGTTAATTTGGGTCCACAGAAGAGCGGTCTTGGAGGAGACTTTTATCACTTGATGAAAGTCTACCTTTTTAAACCACAGGACCTTTAAACAACATTAATGCCGCCGCTTCCAGGAGTTATAACGCTATTACCGGGATTAATTTTCTTAGGTAAACACTCTTAATGTAATATTGTTATTATTATTATGATTTAGTATTATGGTTAATAAATATAAAATGTTATTTATTTTCATAGTTTATAGATGTTCAAAAGCGACAGGAAGAACAAATAAAAAGGAAAGCGTTTATATACAAAAAATGTCAACAGCTACATGTTACAGATTCTCCGTATTCTGTAGAGGACATTCAAGATACAATAGGGCGCAACATCATGGTGAACGATAAATACAAACTGTTGTTCTGTTTCATTCCAAAAGTTGGCTGTACGACTTGGAAGAGGATATTTTTAGTATTGAACGGTTTCATCAATACTACTTTGGACCTAAAACCAGGAGAGGTTAAAGCTGTATTTTCAAATATAACCACATTGAAGCAGACAACAGCCATAGAAGCACTTAAAAAACTAAAGACATACACAAAGATCACATTCGTACGGCATCCATTCTCACGAGTCCTCTCCGCCTTCAGGAGTAAACTTCGGCCGGGACTCAAGTTTGATTACACGAAACAGTGGAGGGATAACCTAGGTCGGTATATTATGAAACGATACAGGTCTGGCACAAATCGCAGTACATACGACTTAACGTTCACCGAATTTGTAAGATATCTAGGCGACGAAACGCAGAAAACGCATTACTATTATGATAATAATCATTTCTACAGTCAACATAAAACATGTCTTCCTTGTCATATTGATTATGATTACATTGGTACAATGGAGACGTTTAAAGATGACGCAGAATACATTCTGAACGCTTTAGTAAAAGATCGTTTCATAGAACTGCCAATGGTGGCTGGGACAAACAGTTCATCCTTTTCATTACAACAAGAGTACTATTCCAAAGTTCCGCTTCATCTATTGAAATTATTATACACACGTTATCAACGTGATTTCCAGATATTCGGATATTTACCAAATTGATTTATTCGTTAGAATAATTTAGTTGCAATAACAGTTTCCTGTGGACGGTTTTGGGCGATTGATTCGTCTTTAGTATGAACGGTAATAAGTTATTTAAATTTTGGTTGATGCAAAGATACAAAGTACTGATTAAAAACCGTTATGCTCGTAAACACAAATTTATGTATTATTCTATTTGTAAGTCAAATAAGTTTGTTATTTTTTTTTGGAACACTAATAAATGCGACCAAAATTATATTATATTGTTCCAAATATGCAACATCAGACAGGTGCTGACGCATATTCTATTACCAACCTTTTGTTCTTTAATAATCTAATTATATTTAATTTTACAAACTGAATTATGATCATGGTCTAAACAAAAATTAACACAAGTAACTCCAGCTGTTCTATTTAATTTAATTATTCATGTTCCATTTGCAATGACAGAAATATACGACAGTTAGACATAATTTAAATTCTGTTTCGTTTTTATTCACCACTTATACTACAGTTCACCCTCTCATTCGAGACCACTTTGAGACCTAAACATTTGATGTGGTTTCGTGGGTTCGGTCTTGTAGTTTAGGTTTCAAGACAAAAACTGCAAGTGGTCTCTAAACTTAAACACTTTTCATATCTTAGAACATTGAATATTTATTTACTTTGAATTGATTCTGTGATCAGTCTCTAAATGAATGAATCCTTAATGTAGCTAAAATTTTTAGCAACTGGAACCAAATGAATCATTATTGTAGGTAAGCGTTTTAGCAAATGGAACCAAATTCAACCATATCTTAAAAGAATTGAATAGGCCTATTTACCGTATTTCCTTTGAATTTCATTCTATCTTCGGTTTCTAAAATAACTGAATATTAATATAGTTAAGTTTTTTAGCAACTGGAACCAAATGTTGAATCTATCTCATTACACATTACAACAATGTCTTGTATCTTGTACAAACCACTAACGACTAAAGTGGAATCGCTTAAAGCAGGTCTCGATTCAGCCAAGTTCATCAGATGGGCCAACAAATTCTGCAAAGGCTTATTTTTTTCATTTATTTAGTCCAAAGAACAATAAACTGACAAAAACAAAATAACAACTGTTTTAACATTGCATTTAAAAACAAAAACACTGAGGGGTGCTAGTATAATGATGTGCAGTACCATAGAGATAAGGCAATGTTTTTATGGGCAACTGTGCAAGCCATTAAAATTGTATGTTTGAAGATCGACGGAATACAGCATCGTCGTTCTCACACATCCAACCAGTGATGCCAATGGCAGACCCGCATCTCAGTGAGAAATAGAGGGTCCAATTGTAGACCCGCATCTCAGTGAGAAATAGAGGGTACCTCATAGAAAAAAAAGGGAAAAAATGAAATTGGTCAAATCAGTTTAGTTCGGGCAATGACAATAGATTTATTTCTGTGTGGCTGTCGTCTGAAACAAACAAAAAATAATTGATAAATTTAGGGTGGTTAATTATGCCTTTACTGTGTCCTTTTTAGAAATCAATATTAGTTGGATTTGTGTTCAAAAATGGTAGCATAAATGTCAGATAACTCACTCAAATAAAAGTATTAAAAACGTGCGAGCCATGTGCTTGTTTTTTAGACTATGATTTCAAATCTTTGAAGTCAAAAACTATTAAAACATTGTCCTTTTTATTGATAAATATGAGATAATCATGTTAAAATGAACCTCTATATTAATTTTTGAATTTTCATTAATATCATTTAATGGCGCATTTGTTGTTAAACTTGTTTTTCCCAAAAGTGGTTTTGTATTCAAGGTCATTTTGTCACTTAGAAATTTAAATTTGACGAGTCTCAGAATTAGAAGGTGAGCTTAGTATTAAGAGATGTGATCAGTTGGTACTTTGAAAAATTGATCTCGAATTAGAGGGGTCTCGGAATTAGAGGAGTCTCGAATTGGAAGGTGAACTGTAATTAGCCGGAGTGTTACTAACAAATGTTTTTCAACATAGATTATTGCATATTTTAGAAAAAATATTGAAGTTATGAAGTACCGGTAATACGCTGAGCTCATAGAGCTTTGATAATATGCGATATATAATTCAACACCTTTACATTTACAAGCATAGATAGTAACAGGGACAAAAGAAAACAATACATGTTTACTGATTTTATAATATGAAACAGAAGTACATGAAAATCATTCGAAAATTGGGTTATGGAGGCCTACTTTTGAAGTAGTTCCAAGATATTTTATTAACACGTAATTCTTAAAATAAAATACGGTGGAATCTGGAAGGATATATCCAGGTAAATGTGGCGATTGACTGGATCTGTGGAAATCATACCGTACGTTAACTATTTATAAAGGGCAAGTGTCGCTGTCCTATGTATTTAGATATAACGTCGGCGTCAGCTACGTTGTGTAGCTGCAAATTTGTTCGTCTTTTGGGGGCTGATTCATGCTTCCGTGTGTGTCTAAGCGGAGTTTCTCTGACTTGCGAGTAACGGCCATCAAGTGCGTAGACTTGATATCCGGCCATACGTAATCCCCATAACCAGTGCCGTGTGATAGCTGCTTTGAAGTTTTGCTATACATGTACTTGTAAATTCGGACAATGACGTAATACAAACTATACAATGTACAGTAATGGAATTTTTAACTTACGTTCACAACATACTACTACTCAATAATTAAGCTATTTTGTAGTACAGATGAGGAACCAAGGATAGTGTCTTGTCTATGCAAACGCATTATATTAATCAACAAATGAGGCGTCTGCATAGACAGCAGAAGGTCCCGG